TTTATTGATGTTAAACTTTCAATCATTGATCTTTAATATTGGAAAGATACAGTAACAAAATCTTTAGTTTCCTTCAATATTTCACTTTTGAGGCCGAATAATAACATAAGAAAAACAAGAGTTCAAGTTTATTGAGTTTCAGATAACAAAGTCATTTAAACTTAAGCAAAGCAAACAGGTTGTGGATATAATTTTGAGAAATTCAGTGTATGGGAATTTTCAGACTTTCAAATAGTAAAGGACTATATATGGTTTTGGCCTTTTTTGGCCCCCAAATCCATCGAAATTAAAAATCTTCAATAGAACTTTCAAATGACTGTTTCTTTAATTTTGAATACTTCCCTGGTACTATTATGTAAACATTCATTTAGGTTTTCAAATATGGCTGCCATGGTAACCAGTTAATATTTGCATAAATTAATGAAATTTGAATCTTCAGTAAATTTTGACAGGTTTTTGCCTAGTTTTTTTCTTAGTTACCATAGAGCGCACTCTTGAACAAACTTTATATTTCTCCTAAAGATGTATTACAGGTGCATACACATTGTCCTTTGATTTTGAGTTTGTTCAAGCATGCGCTCTACAGTTTCCAGGAGAAAAACTATGCAAAATACGACAAAATTCACTGAATATTCATTTTTTTCTAATTTATGCAAATACAAAAAAAAAATCATGACAGTGTTTGGGAAGTATTTAAAATAGAAGAAACAGTCATTTCAAAGTTAATTGAAAGGTTTTGAATTTTGATGCATTTGGGGGCCAAAAAAAGGCCAAACCATATATATTCCTGTAATATTAACCATACAATGATATAAATCAATTACAATTTAACAGCAAAATACAATGACGTGATTATCCACATGAATTATAAATCAAACATACATTTATTACTGGGCAAATAGAAATGCCTTAAAAGCAAACACAAGTGAAAACCAGCATAGAAAGTAACCAGTTTAGATCAGAATTATACATATAAGGAGGCAGTACCCATTTCGGATCAGTATCCAAAGCGGATCACTTTTTTGCAAAAAAACTTATAAATAAATAAATATGGACTGAAAATGTAATTCAAACTCAAATGTCAGTGTTTTGATATGACGTTTTTTAAAAATGGTGCATGTGCCGACTTTGCATTCTGTTTTGGACTATAGGAATAAATTCACGTGTTGGATATGTGTTTTCATCTAAATTCTAAAGGTCATTACAAAATGTTTATATGCTGACAAAAAGATATTCCTTTGAAGCGTAAGATACTGAAAAATTCAAGCCTTGATCCGATTTGGGTCCTGACTTTCGCAAAAACCGGAAATGCTGATTGGTGACTAATCAAAGTATTCTATAAATATCATAAATGAGTCCCAGGTGCTAACGCTGATTGGTGACTAATCAAAGGATTCTATAGATATCTCAAGTGAGCCCCAGGTGCTAACGTTGACTGGTGACTAATCAAAGTATTCTACAGATATCTCAAGTGAGCCCCAGGTGCTAACACTGATTGGTGACTAATCAAAGTATGCTATAGATATCTCAAGTGAGCCCCCGGTGATAACGCTGATTGGTGACTAATCAAAGAATTCTATAAATATCTCAAATGAGCCCCAGGTGGTAACGCTGATTGGTGACTAATCAAATTATTCTATAGATATCTCAAGTGAGCCACAGGTGCTAACGCTGATTGGTGACAAATCAAAGTATTCTATAAATATCATAAATGAGTCCCAGGTGCTAACGCTGATTGGTTACTAATCAAAGTATTCTATAGATAACTCAAGTGAGCCCCAGGTGCTAACGTTGACTGGTGACTAATCAAAGTATTCTATAAATATCATAAATGCGCCCCAGGTGCTAACGCTGATTGGAGACTAATCAAAGTATTCTATAAATATCATAAATGAGGCCCAGGTGCTAACGCTGATTGGTGAATAATCAAAGTATTCTATAAATATCATAAATGAGTCCCAGGTGCTAACGCTGATTGGTGAATAATCAAAGTATTCTATAAATATCATAAAAGAGCCCCAGGTGCTAACGCTGATTGGAGACTAATCAAAGTATTCTATAGATATCTAAAGCGAGCCCCAGGTGCTAACGCTGATTGTTGACTAATCAAAGTATTCTATAGCTATCTCAGGTGAGCCCCAGGTGCTAACGCTGACTCGTGCCTATTCAAAGTATTCTATAAATATCTCAAGTGAGCCACAGGTGCTAACGCTGATTGGTGACTAATCAAAGGATTCTATAGATATCTCAAGTGAGCCCAAGGTGCTAACGCTGCTTGGTGACTAATCAAAGTATTCTATAAATATCTCAAGTGAGCCCCAGGAGCTAACACTGATTGGTAACTAATCAAAGTATTCTATAAATATCATAAATGAGTCCCAGGTGCTAACGCTGATTGGTGCCTATTCAAAGTATTCTATAAATATCTCAAATGAGCCCCAGGTGGTAACGCTGATTGGTGACTAATCAAAGGATTCTATAGATATCTCAAGTGAGCCACAGGTGCTAACGCTGATTGGTGACAAATCAAAGTATTCTATAAATATCATAAATGCGCCCCAGGTGCTAACGCTGATTGTTGACTAATCAAAGTATTCTATAGATATCTAAAGTGAGCCCCAGGTGCTAACGCTGCTTGGTGACTAATCAAAGTATTCTACAGATACCTCAAGTGAGCCCCAGGTGCTAACACTGATTGGTGACTAATCAAAGTATTCCATAGATATCTCAAGTGAGCCCCAGGTGCGAACACTGATTGGTGACTAATCAAAGTATGCTATAGATATCTCAAGTGAGCCCAAGGTGCTAACGCTGCTTGGTGACTAATCAAAGTATTCTATAGATATCTAAAGCGAGCCCCAGGTGCTAACGCTGATTGGAGACTAATCAAAGTATTCTATAGATATCTAAAGTGAGCCCCAGGTGCTAACGCTGCTTGGTGACTAATCAAAGTATTCTACAGATATCTCAAGTGAGCCCCAGGCGCTAACGCTGATTGGTGACTAATTAAAGTATTCTATAGATATCTCAAGTGAGCCACAGGTGCTAACGCTGATTGGTGAATAATCAAAGTATTCTATAAATATCATAAAAGAGCCCCAGGTGCTAACGCTGATTGGTGCCTATTCAAAGTATTCTATAAATATCTCAAGTGAGCCACAGGTGCTAACGCTGATTGGTGACAAATCAAAGTATTCTATAAATATCATAAATGAGGCCCAGGTGCTAACGCTGATTGGTGACAAATCAAAGTATTCTATAAATATCATAAATGAGTCCCAGGTGCTAACGCTGATTGGTGAATAATCAAAGTATTCTATAAATATCATAAATGAGTCCCAGGTGCTAACGCTGATTGGTGAATAATCAAAGTATTCTATAAATATCATAAATGCGCCCCAGGTGCTAACGCTGATTGGTGAATAATCAAAGTATTCTATAAATATCATAAATGAGTCCCAGGTGCTAACGCTGATTGGTGAATAATCAAAGTATTCTATAAATATCATAAATGAGGCCCAGGTGCTAACGCTGATTGGTGACAAATCAAAGTATTCTATAAATATCATAAATGAGGCCCAGGTGCTAACGCTGATTGGTGACAAATCAAAGTATTCTATAAATATCATAAATGCGCCCCAGGTGCTAACGCTGATTGGAGACTAATCAAAGTATTCTATAGATATCTCAAGTGAGCCCCAGGTGCTAATTTTGTTTGTAAGAACACTGATCGATATTTTTTCCTTTGATATAACCATAAATGAATATAATTCCTCCTCAGATTTTTCAATGAGTTAATAAAATGTTGGTTTGGTGATCCGATTTGGGTACTGTCACCTTACCCCCTGGTACATATACCATAAGTGTTATGCTTAATATAACAACACTTCAAAATATCTTTTATAACAGTGTAATATCTGAAGGATATCTTAAGTTTTGTATAAACAAGATAAATAAAACAGCAATGGAGGAATGTATAGTACATCTATCAATTACGGACATTTGCTGAGGTGAATATGTATTCAAATGGACCAGTAAAAGGGATATTGACCGAGATAAAGTCAAAGTCATTATCACATCCTTACATTTGTAGGTTCATATAACCACATATACACCAAAATAAAAGTTTTGAATAGTCATATAAGATGCTAAATCATGTTTTAACCTTTGAACAAGATGAAGGATAAGAAAATTATATGGAGAAAAGTACCTCATTTAGCATAGAGCATTGTGACGTTACAATTGAAATGACGTTAAAAAGTGAATTTTTACCTGCTGTTTCTAAAAATAGTAACACAAGTCAAATGTAATCTGTGTCATATGAAATACTTTTCATACTAAAAATCATCGGCTATCATGTTAGTGTTCTGGTAGGTTTAACTGTAAATGGTGTTCTGTACATTGTTTAATCAAGTTTAAATTCACATGTTCTGTTCAGTCAAGCTTAGCCAACATGGTGATGTTCTGTTTAGACAGGTTTTATTATACAAGGTTCTGTTCTATTTAGTCAGGTTTATCAGACATGCTGATGTTCTGTTTAGTCAGGTTTTATTGTACAAGGTGCTCTGTTTAGTCAGGATTTACTGAACATTGTAAAGTTCTGTTTAGACAGGTTTAACTGTACATGGTGTTCTAGCTGTAAAGTCAGGTTTTACTGAGCATTATAATGTTCTGTTAAATCAAGTTTAAAACATGTTTTATTGTGCAGGTTTGAAATCACTTAAAATCACAGAAACAACAATAAAGTATATAAACCTGTTTCAGAAAGAAGTTTAGAATGAAGATTAAATTCTAGCAGAATTATATATAATAATAGATATTCATCAGATCTCATGAAAAGTTTTAACTACAGTTCATTTGATTATGCACGTAAAACCAGTCGAGGAAAATCTTTCAAATCTTTCATCTCGTAACTAACCATTGCTACTGGAGGATTTTGCTGAGAAGACATATATATATAAATACTTGGACGGAACTCCCTATAACTGTGATGTTTTCTGTTAACTGGCCAATGTAACTGGTGGTTTTTTTTGAGAAGACATGTATGCTTGGACAGATCTCCATAGAGCTGTGATGTTACCAGACCCAAATCCTGTGGCTCCAGAGCGATGGATCACTTCCAGGAAAAATGTATTCCTATCAAAGAGGGGCTTGGTGAATTTCTGCATCAAATACCTGCAACAGAGTAAATAGAAATGACTGTCAACAAAAGTCATTATAATTACAAATTTAGCTGGAGCAGAAATCAAAGTGTAAAGCACTGAAATATTATTACCATTATTTTAAGGCATGGTGGAATTTTCAAATACTTCAAGGTAAATCTTTCGAGTTTCCAAATAAGCCAGTATATCCGAGTAATGGTTTTGTTATTTCTTTTGTATATGAAGTGAAAAGTACATATCTGTGGTTATCAAGCTTAACCTTGTTTAGTGAAAGATGATGGATCAGAGTCGGTACTGGTTACCCTATATAGCTACCTGCCCTATTTTAATGTGCCCTTCAATAATTATCAATATTCAAGGAAGCACTATTGATTTCAAGATTACTCTCTTCGATACACCTTATCAAAATTATCCAAAAAATAAAAATGTATTACCTATCTACCTGGCCTAATTTTTTCACACATATAACAGTAATCAAATAGGGTATGTTTTGTCACATTCAGTCCACAAGTGATTGTTTCATATAATGACATGTACATGTATAGTGTTTACCACATGCATTCATTACAAACTTTACAGAACAATCAGTTAATGTCTATTTTGTTACCATTGTACAACAATAACATAATACTGTAATGACATGTTTGTGGACGGCCTGATGCAGCACCTGTGGAACCCAGTAGTTAGCAGGTAGTTAGCATTACAAGAGTTATCTCCCTTCTATGATCACGCTTACCCTCTGTGAGACAGCTTAGACTGCTTGCCTATATGTAACAGCATTAAATGTGTAAGAACCATTGCTTGCTTGAGAGCTACTGACTAGAGAGACTGCTAGAGGAAAACTATAATATCATCAACATGCAAGGAATTGATATAAAGTATAAAGTTATAAGCTGTTACATTGTAGATGTATGTTATGTAACACTTCAATGACAATGCTTAATACTTGATCAGCTACCAACCCCATCGGCTGTGAGATCAAACCCATTTGACAGAGAGTACACTTCAGGGTTTTGGTAGATGCTGATTGGACTTTTCACACCAGGGCCAACTTGAGCAAGAGCAACGGCCTCTAAACAGTGTCTTAAAATGATTGCATATATATTGTTTATTTCAGTGAGGCCCTTTGTAAAAGAATTAATTTTCCAAATTAAATTAAGTGTTATATGTTTGTATGTAAAACCAAATCAAAGAAAAAGCAGATATTTTCAGGAAAATACATTCGTTAAAATTAGCACCCACCATTGTACCATCTTCATTAATTCTTTGTAAGACATTTTCTCTTCTTTTTCTCTTATCTGTTTGATTGAGTCATGTAAACAGTAAATCACAAAATGCACATTGAGGCAAGCTCTGATGTAAACTTCATACTGCTTTGTATTTATAAATGACATTGTCTTTCAAAATGAAGCTGTCATTTGACATATTTACTCGTACAGTACTTCAAATGAAACAGGAGAGTCAATCACTGAAATTTGAGAAACATATATTTCACTTCTTGTGCAATGCATGTGTTGATAATATTATTGAACTGGCTGCCTGGCACCAATCTTGTTACTCTGATCAGTCAACATGAAACATGCACAACTAATTACCAAGGAGAACCTTAATATAAAAATTTGAGAAAGATCTGTCAAGGACAAGTTTTTCAGAAAAAGTAATAACAATCTTGAACTGTCAAAATCAGTCTTGAATTGGAACATGCACAACTAGGGACTAATGGAAACGGAATTTATGAAAGATCCATTCTGTACTTCTTGACAAATAGCGATCACAAGAATTGTTGAAGGACAGACTGAGGACAGAAGAACACTGGACAACTGACAATAGGCGATTATATAGCTTGCCACTAATGATGATGATGGGCTTAAAAGAACAATGATATCATAGAAAATATCTGCAAAATACAAGTTAGTCACCTTTTACCGCTGTGTCCATCATTCTGTGTTTGGTCCTTGTTGTGTGTCTCACTGGTCATCTCATTGATGTCAACCTCCATATCTACCAGTATACCGTTCGTCTCAAGGATGGCCACACACTGACCAATCTGCTCAATGTCCTCCAGTTTTCCTACCTGTCAGGTACAAGGCACATCAAAGTTAGACATGCTGTGATATGTAAGGGTCAAGGAAAAAAGACACCTGATCAGCACTTAACATGGCATATGGCATTGCTTCTTGACCTTATGTCAGTAAGGTTCTTTCTGTGGTTTTTAAGGTTATCATTAGAAAGGTACCCTACATGTACTTAAGTCGACAGATGTTTTCAGAACAATGGGTTAGTATGATGTTTGCACTTGACATTTCAATTCCCAAATGAATAATTTCACAACTCTACCTATTCATAGTTTTTCATATTGTGCAGTTTTAAGGTCTTGAGGAAGCATTCTACACATACTGTCTGTTACAAATGGGCACAGTGACTTTGCCTTTCAACTCCAACTAACTTGTTAGAGAGGGTAGATACCAGCCCAGTTACTCACCTCTGTGTAGTATGTGTATGGAGGTTCAGCGAACTCCACTCCCCTGGCCATCAGAGTGGACACAGTGGTGACTATGTCCGGAGTGTGGAGCCCAATATGTTGGATACCCGGTCCGCCATGTTCCGTCAGGAATGTAGCCACCTGGTTAGGACCTGTTTGCACAGATAATTGTTAGACATTTTTATGATTTAAGAAACTATCTAGATGTTGAAACAGTTTTAATTAAACAATCTAGAAGTTATTGTTGAAAGAGTCTTTAGAAGTTATTGTTGAAAGAGTCTTAATTAAACAATCTAGAAGTTTTAGTTGAAACAGTCCTAATTAAACAATCTAAAAGTTGTTATTGAAACAGTTTTAATTAAATAATCTAGAAGTTGTTGTTGAAACAGTCTTAATTAAACAATCTAGAAGTTATTGTTGAAACAGTCTTAAATAATCTAGAAGTTGTTGTTATAACAGTCTTAATTGCAAGACAGAATAAAATTTCAGATGAGTTTCATCAACCAGTGTCACACATGTAAAATGGAATCATTTTCAATCAAGATTCTTTGCATCCCTGTGTAACAATCAAATATTTTTCAAAAAATGACAAAACCTGTGACATTGCCATGTTTAAGTCTGTGACCTTTAATAGCATGTCCTCATTATGATGTCACAATAGACTCTTGGCCATGTCAACCAAACAAAATCACCAATTAAGAAATGATTATTCAATTGTGATTTAATTGATATTATTGGTAGTAAACTATAAGTTTGATTCTGAATAAAATGTTGTATTTCAGAAGTTATTGGTAACACAACATACCTTGGTCCGGTAATGCCTCTGCAATGACAAACTTGATGCCGTTGACACCCTCAGACTTTTCGGGTGTGGTGATTCCTGTTTCAGCACAGTGCCAGTACTCCATTGCCTTAAGTCGTAGACCAATATCTGTTGTGTTTATCACAAAACCATCATTGGCATCCTCGTCACTGCAAATTGCAATAATAAACATTAAACAACCAAATCAGAAGAAATCATGCCAACTGGATAACATGACAAAATCAAACAATCATTATTTAGCTAAAGTTGAATGTGAGACCAATCAGACCATGGCCACTTTGTTGCACATTTTATCAGCTTATCTTGTTCTGGTAGTTAATTACACTTTAGTGTCTCAATATTTTCATACAACTCTTCAATTAATTTTTATATGACAGAATACATATACATGTCAGATGTTCACAGAAAAACATTTTGATTCACATACATCTATTCAGATTTCCTTAATCACCACTTTTACCACTTCACATTTGCTTCTGTTGAGAATATGGCCCTAAATTTTATTTAATATTGAGAAGGTTATTGGAAATTATTCATGAGCTTTCAAGAAACATAATGATTTTTACATGTTAAGAAAGTTCATAGATACATGTTTCAAGAACTTTCCAATTCATAACTCTGCAATAGGACATTTTCTTATGAAAATTCCCCTTTTTTTACAATTATTCATGAATTCTAAATATTTCTGATTGTCCTTTATTCCTATGTTTATGATCAGTGTTGAAAAATGTATATAGATTTATGATTATTTTCATGAAATATATCATGAATAAGTTTTAAAATTCGTGAATATTCTTCGAACATTCAAAAATTAACTCACCATGAAGAGTAATATGTTATTTCTTTTCTTGAAATAATTGCTATCAATGAATATTAGTGAACACAGGGGATAGTATCAGGTTTTGCTGTCACTCAACAGAAATATATGGGATGATATACATATGGTGTCAGAAAATATCATCATTGCATCAGATTTTTTGATTTTTTTCAAAATTAAAGTTAATCAACAAGACTTAAAACATTATCATAAATTTATATTTGAATTATTTCATTCATGCAATTTTCATTTAGGAAGTTAAAATCTGCCTATTTTTTATCTTGACCTTTAGTCAATAATTATATAAACTATTTATATATGTTTATTTATAAACATTACAGTAACTGAACCATATATATATTACATGTACATGTGTAGATTATGCAGCAAAACAATAACCTTTTTATGTAAGAAAATCAAGTTATATGTTAAATTATCATTGTTAGTTCTAATTGTGCTGTTTTGAATTGCACTACTTGAAGAGTACAATTATAGAACTAATGTTACCATCTCTGTCACTCTGTATCAGAGGTGATTGAAATTCTGACAATAAATCTAGAAATTAATCTGTTTATCAATATTAATACACCTGTTCTTATTGTATCACTACATTCGTACTATATATTGTAATACATATTACTATTAAATAGGTTAATTTCTCTATTAAAATCAGAATTTCAAATGCATGTCCTTATACTAATATTGACCTGTTCATAAAAAATCTTTTCAATCCAAGACACTCCTCATACCACTGTAGCACAGTTGATGATGTACCAACTTCACATGCGAATGTCACATGATCAAAATGTGTTAAATTTACAGTCTTATCATCAGCTTCTCGACATACATCAGTTTGGTGAACAATATCAAAGTGAGGTAGGAATGCCCCTGAGTATCTATCACAATTAAGCAACGTGTGTATCACATTTCCAACACAAGATTTCACTATTGCTAGATCTATCTCTCCCAAATCGTCCTTAATTGTTGTTTCTTGTTTTAATACAGTTGCCCCACGTGCTTTCAATCGCTGCAAGCAAGAACCGACATTTTTGACCTTCAAAGCCACATTGTTCACAGTGTCGACTTCAGCACACGTTTCGAAAGATCTGCTGTCGTGCGTATGCAATCCTTTGTATTCTAACTCAGATGACACGACATAAAAGTCCTCCGTTTTAATCACCTCGCAGGTGTTTTGCTCCATTTGTGGTGCATGATGTAACAACTTCGATTGTGTCACCACAAAAATTACGTTACGTGATTTAAGAACCCATTGGTTTGCTAGTGGACATGACCTTTTCGCGATCAAAACAAAGTTATATTTTGAAACGAAGTCCCGAGAAACAGCTTCACCGTCTCGAGCAAGAACTTCAATATGATGAACAGAATCTGTTTCCATGTTCGTCCTCCGAAGTTGTCCTCCGTGTGATGAGCAAATGCTGTCTGCTACCGGTGCGGAAGTAAGACAGGAAGTAGAACTCTTTTTTCGAATATCAGGGTTGGGTGTAGTTACCGGATATTTTCGGATATCAAAGCCAAGAACCACGTCTCAGCGTGTAACTTGTGGTCATTAAAAGAACATAGTCAGTCATTATGATAAAATGCTTTCGTAAAAATTGGTTGCATGTAGCTTCAATTTTATTTATTTGGTTGGCTTGCATAGAATTTTATACTGTTATTTTACAAAAGACCGTGTAACGGATTATATATTCAATCATGTCTCTAAGATTATACTGAGGTACACTGAAAAAAATCGTTATAATTATTCCAAAAGTGAAGACATTTTAAACAACAATTACTTTTAGTTTATCTTATCGTTTTTTCACATTTCAAGAGAAACTGTTGGCTAGACCAGAGACGTATATATTGTAATACAAATGTATATAACGTTAGTGCAGGCAAATTCGTCACATTAGTAAGGGTTTCGGTTAATTTGGGTGCATGGCGAATTTGCCTACACTAACGTTAACGTCTCGGACTAGTCACATTGCCAGAAATCTGTGGTGGATGTTTTTTCGTAATACATTGTAATAAAAAAAACCTACCCACCAGAACCACCTTGAGCATGTGTAAGTTCAGAGACGAAGTCTCTGGTTAGTTGCAAAAACTGTTCCGAAGAACTTTGAGTAGGACCAATTTTTCGGTATATAATACCACTGGGACAATCCATTTCGCTTACGTCAGAGTGATCAAAAAGTTAGTTTTGTGCCAAATACGGCTTACGGCAGAGTAAAATTCTCTTACGATTGGAAAAGTGTTGCGGCAAAATACAAGATTACGTAAGTATAATGATGTGATATAAGCAACAAAGTTGAAACAATGATAACACAAAAGTCTGTTGAAGGTATAGATGCTATCACATACACGTGTTATAGAAGATTTAACGCTTTGATTATGAATATTTTGACGCAATACACAAATCTATGTGTGTTTAATATGCAGATGAATAAAACGCTTCCCCGTGTCATTGAAATGAAGTAATTAGATACAATAATAGAACGAATAATACTTTAGTTATTAAATATATTAATTTATCACGTGGACATTACATTTGTGCATAAACTGCTATATAATACTGGTGATACGGATTACGAACGTTCTCAATTTTAGTTGATACGGATTACGTTCTATGTTGATACGGATTACATTTGTATTAAATAATGTAATAAACAAAATAAACTCTGCTACTAACTACCATATACCTCATAAAATAATTACTGTCCATCCTGATGACAACCTTGGATGACTGGTGAAATTCGGCATAAATCAAGATATAAGAATAGATTATATAAAATAGCTAAAAATAAAAATAGGGAACATGATTGGGCAAAATTTAGAACTTGTTGCAATGACACTATAAAAAAAATCGTCAATCCAAAGAAAATTACTTAAAGAAACTTCAAAATTGTCGTGCTGACAAAACAGTGCATCCAAGAAATTTGTGGCAGATAGCAAAATCTATAGGAAAAATGACTAACACTAGCACTAATTCTTATCCTTTGAAATCTAACAATAACATTTTAATCCATCCACAAGATAAAGCTGAAGCACTAAATAACCTCTCCACCACCATTGCTTCTGATATTACTGACACTAACCTACCCGACTTACCTCCCTTATATCCATTTGAACTTTCTAATATTAACATAACTGAACAAGATATAACTGACCAATTTGACATTTTTAATAAAAACAAACCTGCTGTTCCTGATGGTATTTTACCTATGATTGTAAAGAACATTTCTTATTCTTTAGTATACCCACTCAAACTATTATTTAATAGAACTTTATCTATTGGAGAAATACCTGATGTACTAAAAACGGCTAATGTTACTGATCTCTATAAAGGTAAAGGAGATATCAGTGATCTCAATAATTATAGACCTATTGTCATTACATCTATTTTTAGGTCACCTGAGCTTTGCTCAAGTGACCTATTCCAATCACTTTCCGTCCGTCGTCATCCGTCGTCCGTCGTGCGTCGTGCGTAAACTTTTACATTATCAACTTCTTCTCAAGAACCAGTGGATGGATTTTTTTCAAACTTGGTCAGAGTTATCCTTGGTAGATGAGGCTACCAAATTGTAAAATTGGGATTCCTACCCCAACCCTAGGGGCCAGGGCGGGGCCCAAAAGGGAAAATTAACCAATATTTCAAAATTCTTCTTCTCCAGACTCAGAGGTATTACAGTCATTTTCTCTACATGGATGGAAAGATCATCAGGGGCTCTATTTAAAATGTAAATTTCAGGACCCCCGAGCTATCCGTTCTCCCTTGGGGAGGGGGTAAAGTTTACTATAGTTTATATAGGGAAACAACACTTTTGGGTATATTTTGACAATTTTCTGTTGGAAATTATTTTTACTTGGTCAGAATCATCCTTGGAGGAGGAAGATGGTTTTAAATTGTAAAATTGGGATTCCTACCCCAACCCTAGGGGCCAGGGCGGGGCCCAAAAGGGAAAATTAACCAATATTTCAAAAATCTTCTTCTCCAGACTCAGAGGTATTACAGTCATTTTCTCTGCATGGATGGAAAGATCATCAGGGGCTTTATTTAAATTGTAAATTTCAGGACCCCCGAGCTATCCGTTCTCCCTTGGGGAGGGGGTAAAGTTTACTATAGTTTATATAGGGAAACAACACTTTTGGGTATATTTTGACAATTTTCTGTTGGAAATTATTTTTACTTGGTGAAAATTATCCTTGGAGGAGGAAGATGGTTTTAAATTGTAAAATTGGGATTCCTACCCCCAACCCTAGGGGCCAGGGCGGGGCCCAAAAGGGAAAATTCACCAATATTTCAAAATCTTCTTCTCCAGACTCAGAGGTATAACAGTCATTTTCTCTTCATGGATAGAAAGATCATCAGGGGCTCTATTTAAATTGTAAATTTCAGGACCCCCGAGCTATCCGTCTCCCTTGGGGAGGGGGTAAAGTTTACTATAGTTTATATAGGGAAACAACACTTTTGGGTATATTTTGACAATTTTCTGTTGGAAATTATTCTTACTTGGTGAGAATTATCCCTGAAGGAAGATGGTTTTAAATTGTAAACTTGGGATTCCTCCCCCAACCCTGGGGGCCAGGGCGGGGCCCCAAAGGGAAATTTAACCAATTTTTCAAAAGTCTTTTTCCCCAGACTCAGAGTCCTATACTTGTCATTTTCTCTGCATGGATGGAAAGATCATCAGAGGCTTTATTTAAATTGTAAATTTCAGGACCCCTGAGCTATCCGTTCTCCCTTGGGGAGGGGGTAAAGTGTACTATAGTTTATATAGGTAAACGTTATATAAACATTTAATTATATTTCAAGTCACAATATGTTAAGTGTACATAAGTCAGGATTTCAACCCAAAGACTCCACTACTAATCAACTAGTTGATATCTATAATACTATAAGTAGTAATTTAGACCAAGGTAAAGATTTGCGTTTTGTTTTCTGTAATATAGGTTAAGCATTTGATCGTGTATGGCATTTGGGCCTATTATATAAACTAAAAACGTATGGTATTAAAGGTAAATTATATGATTGGTTTAAAGCTTACTTATCTGACAGAAAACAAAGGGTTATCGTTGAAGGTTATAAATCTAGTACCAAACCTATTTCTACAGGGGTTCCTCAAGGATCTGTCCTTGGTCCCTTCCTCTTTCTTCTTTGTATTAATGATATTACTAACAATGTAACCTCTCATATAAAACTCTTTGCAGATGATACCTCTCTCTATGTTATAGTAAATAATAACAATGACCTTACAACACCTACTAACATGCTTAATAATGATCTCGAATCGATCTCTTAATGGTCAAAGGCAAAGCATTGGCAGATCCTATCCAATCCGAATAAGACTGTAGCTATTAACTTCTCTCGTAGAGACAATCATCCTCACCTGCTTTTTAACAATACTCCAATTGCACAACATGAACACCTTACTCACTTAGGACTAACATTTAACAGTAAAGGGACATGGGCAGATCACATTTCAAATATTTATAAAAAAGCTAACTCTAGAATAAGTATTCTTAGAATTTTAAAAACTACAGTTAATAGGAATACATTAAAAACATTATATGTCTCTTATATAAGACCTGTGTTAGAATATTCTGATATAGTATGGGATAATTGTACCAAATCTGAATCAGATCTTTTAGAATCAGTTCAACTAGATAGAAGCTATGTGTTTAATTACTGGTCTCAGACAAGGTACATCTCATCACATTCTGTATTAAAACACAACTTGAAACATCACACACACGAAGACAAAATCATAAACTAACATTAATGTATAAGATTCTTAATAATTACACTCCAAATTATCTCGATGATATCATTCAAACATTTCTAAATAAAAATAATAACTACACCTTCAGAAATAACAGATTATTTAATATACCACAGACAAGAACTACTACTTATAAGAATAGCGTCTTCCCTTCTACAATGGTAAAATGGAATGCACTTGATAGCACCGTACGAGACTCTATCTTAATTTCAACTTTAAAAAAACCTTTTAACTGTGTTCCGAAAACTTAACATCATTTTATGTCAACTAAGAAATTTTAAAAGTGATCTTAACTTTGATAAGTTACAAGACCATCTGATTGATGATGCTTCCTGTGTTTGTGGTGCACAGAGGGAAGATCGAATACATTTTTTCTTTCGATGTCCTCTGTATTCAAATATTAGGATTCATATTACCACTATTTATAATCTATTAGGATATTTAAATCTGTATTGTTTATTATATGGTATTAGTAATGCATCTGACCAATTAAATAAAACTATTCTTATACATGTTGACTTTTATATTAAATTATTAAAACGTTTCGTTACTTATACATGCTAGATAAATTCCAAATTAATATTCATGTATTGTTATTATTATTATTAATTCAGGCAAGTGTTGTCCCTTAAACAATGAGTATTAGACATAAGCTAGTGTGGGT